CTGAAATGTTTGGGCATGGATAGTTTTTGCACTACCATATATTCATTCTCTTTAATATCAGACTTTATTTAAGGATGACAAAAATCATATTTAATTGAGAAATTGAAACTATCACAAGGCATGCATAGAATGGTAAATTACAGTGGTTGAGAATGGAACACCAGTCTTGTAAAATTATAGAAACTTTAAAGACAAATAAAAAAATAACTTTGTCTCAATAGAATAACAAGTATAAGATCAAGCTTTGCGTTAATAAATGGCACCAACAAATAATTTAAACGAGATAAAGAGGAGTTGTTGCACATGGCACGTCGTGGATTAGATTCATGACGCTCGTGAATTATACGATGATAGATGGGAGGTGGCTGAAATGTCTTTGTAAGCATTTTTGGTTCCTGAAAAGATAAAATATCTTGATGAAGCCACTAGTTATTCATTTAAAGGAAAAAAAGAGAGGAGGTGTAGCACATTATTATTAAGATATTATGTGTAAAGATCAAAGGGAAAAAATAATCACATTACTTTTTCCAACACAATAAAATAGAAAATAGAATACCAATTCAGCACATTAAAACCAAGAACAACCCCAACAAAACAGCCGCCATGTATTGAAACATGCCGATTGCACCCAAAGTAGCAGCGCCTCCAGAAAAGCTTCCACTTTCCGCGTCAGTGGTCAACACAGCAACGATCCAATCATCCTCAGAACCAATCCCAACTCCTGAATACTTGGAATCATTCAGATATTTTGAGGAATGGGAGTGAGTGTAGTTGTTGAGCACAAGATCCTCGTCCAAATCCGGCACGCAAACAGGCCAAATGATGGCGGCTGTTGTCGTGTTGATGTCGATATGGCACTTTTTAACGAGCTTCTCGAAGCTTGGGAACCTGGGTAAGTTGCCTGGCTCGATGATGTAGTGTGCGCTAGAACACGGTTGGTCTTCTAGCTCGTCGGCGAGTTCATCAGCTAGACAAGCTGCATTGTCGTTCTTCTTAAATTCCGGCAGGTTTGCGGATTTCCTGAAGCTGTTGAGGCCTTGGAAAAGATCGTCTTCTTCATCTGCCAAGAAAATAACATGTTAGAGAAATGATTACACTCGAACGAATTAAGACGAAAATATAGCGGAAGTTTTGAGACGCGAGAAAGATGATAGTGTACGTACCGTTCGAAAATACTGGATGAGAAAGGAAGAGTAAGCCAAGAACAAGAACAAAGAGAAAGTAGCTTAGTTTGGAGGAGGCCATTGTTTTAGTGCTAGGACGATGGCTGTGTGACAAGAAGAGGGTGCATAAAAATATACACCGGGGGAAGGAATAAAAAGATGGCTTGTGGGTTCAGATATTCTTTTAGGGTTTCCTCATTTACTTTTTTGTAAGGTTCCTTGGCTGCCAAGGTATTCTTATTCTCATTAAATTGGAAAAGTGGATAGAGATGTTTCTCCAGTTCTCTTTTCCTTTTGGTTCATTAAATTCTTTGCTAGAGAATTCTGGTTGACAAATCTTATACAGTACAATGAACGTTCTGGTTAACTTCTATTTCTTTTTTACACGACATGAGATGAAAGTGGTTTTTACCTGAGATGAAAAAGGTTTGAGGGATCCATTCGAACAGGGTGACCCGATTCTTTTTCAATGTTCCTAAATTAACTTTCTAATGTGAGGTAGTAATTGTATACTGGTAACGTGGAGCACGCATGCTAACACATACTATTCAATGGGGTGCCGAAATCCTTATAAACCCTTGCAAAGTTTCTTAACTTTTCAATATGAAAACCACAAAGTACAAAGCTACAAGGATACTCTACATTTGGTAAATTATTGTTTTAAATGAAAGGATGGTAATAAATTAAGTGAATCGAACTACACATAAAAGGCTGCTTGAGGCTGCTTGATCATCAAACTACAATAGTAGCCCTTACTCTCTTAACCCACAAGGCAGGTCAAAGGGCAGGTCAAAAGAACTAAGACCCTGGATCAGCCATCAACTACAAAGAAGGCTCAATTGCATAACATATGTAATGCAAATAACATTGCATGAAATGAAAACATAAAGTTCATTAGTTCAGGCATTACATACAATCGAAATCCCTAGTTAACAACTACAAAAGTCACATATTTTGGTACAACATAACAACAGAGAGAGGGGGCAGTAAAAACTTTCAACTACCGCTTCAGCTGACCAAAATAACACACAACCCTACCAAAATGGAGACCAAGAAATGACCAAAACCAACGGCTGAAACTAAAGAGCTTGCTGCATTAGCAAGGCTTCCAGTTGGGGTATTTGAGGCCAAAACCACCACCATCCAATCATCCTCGGATCCAAGTCCAACTCCAGTGAACTTCGTATCGTTCAGATACTTTGCGAATTGCGGTTGGTGAGTATAATTGGTAAGTACCAGAGTTGGGACCAACTTAGGCACACAAACAGGGAGAATAACTCCATCTGATGCGCTGTTCGCATCGATTTTGCATTTTCCCAAGTGCTTGGGAAGATTGGCGAGCGGAGTCTGCGAGGTTGCCAGAATGTTGGCTCCATTGGTGGGGCTGCTGCAAGGCTGGTCTTCCATGTCATCAGCAATTTCATCTGCTAGGCAACCTGCGTTACCGTTCTTGACGAGGGCCGGCAGGTTTAGTGAGGTTCTGTAACTGTTTATGCCTTGGAGAAGGGTATCCTCATCCTTATCTGCAGGCAAATAGGTATGGTAAGTTTGAAAATGGTTAATTAGCCACTGAAATTCTAAAATAATACCAAATGCTACAACCATGATCCTATCACTAACTTAATTGCTAAACATGCATGCATGCCATCAAGGATATATGTGAATCATATATTCACAATCTAACGCCTAGTCTTGGATTTTTATCAGAATTAGGTTATTAATTGTTAATCATTTATATTAATTTGTTGCTATTTTCTAATACACCTAGGTCTGAGTGATTAAGCTGGGATAATATCGGTGCATATATAATTTGGACTCGATACACTCACATAGTCCGTGACACAACAACATTAATACTTTTTTATAACAATCTTGACAGAATAAGTTCATCAGTTGTACTAGAAAATAGCAAGTAATCAAATGCAAGGAGAAAAAGTAAAACACACCTTAACCTTGGTTAATTGCGAGTAACCAAGAAACTGAAAAATTGCATTCATACCAAGAACAAAAATTGCATTCATATATATCTTAAATTAGACAAACTAGGGACCCTGTTTATAGTAATGCTATGCCTAACATGTCTGCATGCAAAAGAACACAGATGAGAGAGAGAGCATACCAGAACTCTGCACCAATGGAGAAAGCAAGACAAAGGCATGTGCAATCACAAAGAAGAAGAAGAAGAAGCTAAGTTTGGTCAGGGAGGCCATAGTTTCAATTAATGCTACGGCTGAATGCCTTTTCTGGAAGTTAAATAAGGTTTGTAGATTGGAACGCACCAGAGAGAGAGAGAGAGAGAGAGACAAGGGAAAGAGTTGAGAGATTGTTATATGAGTTGCTAAAGCCTCACATATTTGTTCTTTAAGGCAATTTTCCAGGTGTTCGAGTATTGATCGATTACACAATGCTAAACTTGGTGCCTAATTGACATGTATCGGTTGCTTGGCCTGTCGCCCTTGCACGTGTACTACATGCAAAGCATGGCTCGAGACCCTTTTTCAACGGCTCTCTTACGGATCAAATATGCCGACAATTTCAACTTCTATTCGGGATGCACATCATCTTTTGTTTTTATCTTACATCATCTTAGCTAATACTTTTTATAAGTACTTAGCTTCTTACTCTCGGAGGGGTTAATTATGGCAGCTAAACATGAGTGCATAGAGATAATCCCCACATACGATGAGCTTCTTACTCTCGGAGGGGTTAATTATGGCAGTTAAACATGAGTGCATAGAGATAATCCCCACATACGATGAGCCAAATAGTGCTTCTCTACCTATCACTTTCAGAAAATCCTCTCGAATATCTTCAGGCATGGCCATGTCAACAAACCTATTAAGACAATGAAACATACAAAAATTATGCTATGTTTTGATGTATTTTAAACATTTGGATTTTTAACAACAATTAGATCATTATATCTTGAACAAAAACTTAACGACTACAATTTCATATAGTAGTACTCCGGAGCATACGAGAAAACATCTAAACATATCAAAGCATATATATTACTTTGGACGTACTAGAGATTTCTTTTCTAGTAAACTTTGGGATATTCGACCTCATAGAACCTTACTTGAAGTACGTAAACAACTCTTGATTTCGAGAGATTTTACGCTCGAAATAAAAGGGATTACGTTATGGTACAATCCGATAGACACTTGAAAAGAATGTCCCCTCCAAATAGTGGCGGATTCAAAAAATATAAGGAGTCACAAAAAATTTTTGGACGGTATGGCATGAAAATCAGCATTTCGTCCAACTTTGGTATGTTGAAGTTATTTATTAAGTTGCAGCCTGTCAATAGATGCCAACAACTTTCGAACAAGCATGTCGACTGATGTCAATAGATATTGAGTGGGCATAAAGCCAGATGCCAACATATATTAAGTGCGCCTATTAAAACATGCCTATAGCAAAGTTTTCAAAGTCATAAGGCTAGCAGCTACCCGTCCAATGCCTACAAAGGCTATTCGTCATGGGCAACTTCTCAAGGCATCTCATATTTTAAAAGAGCAGCATGAGCAACTTCTAAAGGCATCTCAGATTTAAAAGAGCAGCACCCAGGACTTTCATAGAGAATTTATCCGTTTTAGGGGACATGTCACCCACTTTGTTCTAAGGTGAATCCACCTCTACCTCCAAATGTCTAATAACATGCCGGGCACATTAAAAAATTTCTCCTTAATCTCAGGCAGGGCCATTTCAACACTACTGTCCGCTTCAACAGATGTTCACGCTGCATGCGACTGTCAGGACACGTACAGACACCTTCCCTGCCACGTGCTCCCCCACGTGTCAACTCAAATCTCCTATTTAACCCCCTTGTCAAATTCTTATACAACCATTGCATATATGCTTTCCCGTTTAGCTTCATCCTCAGCAAGAACCCTAACAAGCAGATCTTCACCAGCATTTTATTTGTGCCTTCCCAAACCCTACATCCAAAGTTACTGTCCAGCAACTTCTTTGAAGAGTCATTCTCTGAGAGTTTTGAGAAGAACAATGGCTTCTGGTGGAAAGCAGCAGTTCCCTCCTCAGAAACAAGGAGCTCAGCCTGGCAAAGAACATGCCATGGATCCCACCCCTCAGTTCACCAACCCTGATTACAAACCCTCCAACAAGCTCCAAGTATTACATCTTACAATAAAATTTCACTAAGTTTCCATGTGATCCAATAAAAGTTCATTAGTTTTCATTTGATCCATGATGACAGTGTGGTGGTATTGCAAGTGAAGTAGGAAAATTTTTAAGTGAGAAAGTTTTAAAGCATGCAAGTGCGTGATTGATTTACACTTAGCAGGAAAAATTTTAAGTGAGAAAGTTATAAAGCATGCAAGTGCGTGATTGATTTACACTTGGCAGTTGGCTACCGTCACAGTGATATCTTGTGTAGGATATAAGTTTTTCTTGTGTAAGTGATATATATATATATATATATATGTGTGTGTGTGTGTGTGTGTGTATGTATATATATGTGTATGTATGTATGTATACTTATGTTTCAAGTGTTGCAGGGGAAAGTAGCGCTAGTGACGGGTGGGGACTCTGGGATAGGGAGATCTGTGTGCCATCTCTTTGCTCAAGAGGGTGCAACCGTGGCCTTCACATATGTAAAGGAACAAGAGGACAAGGACGCACAAGACACAATCCAAATGATCAAACAGGCCAAGACTTCTGACGCCAAGGAACCCATGGCCCTTGCAGCTGATCTCGGATACGATGAAAATTGCAAGAATGTTGTTGAGAAAGTCGCAGATGCATACGGCCGCATTGATATTTTGGTTAACAATGCGGCTGAGCAGTACAAAGCAAGCTCCGTGGAAGAGATTGATGAGCCCCGTTTGGAGAGGGTCTTTAGAACCAACATATTTTCTTACTTCTTCACGACCAGGTAATTTAAAGAAAATAACCAAAATTGTTACCAAACGATCTCTAATCCATCTTCGTGCGATCATAAGCATATTATAACACGTGTACTCAGAAGTTTCTTCTCTAAAAACCTTCTAGTTTTGATGATGATGTGAAATTGTGAACTTAAGGCATGCGTTGAAGCACATGAAAGAAGGAAGCTCCATAATATGCACGACATCAGTCAATGCATACAAAGGAAACGCCAAGCTGCTTGATTATACTTCCACCAAGGGGGCAATTGTGGCATTCATAAGAGGACTTGCATTGCAGTTGGTAAACCGAGGTATCCGAGTCAACGGTGTAGCTCCGGGACCAATATGGACCCCATTGATTCCAGCATCTTTCGATGAGGAGGAAGTTTCGCAATTCGGCAACCAAGTGCCAATGCAGCGAGCCGGGCAGCCATGTGAGGTCGGACCAAGTTACGTCTTCCTCGCTTCCAATGCCTTCTCTTCTTACTACACCGGCCAAGTCCTCCATCCTAATGGTAACGATTTCTTACTAATCTAATGTAGTTTGGGTGGCGTTTATGCTACGTTTTTATATACGAGAACTGTGTTTTTTTAACGATCTGTGGAATTTTGCAGGTGGAACTGTTGTAAATGCTTGATGGGGTTTTGTGGAGGAGTCTTTTGGCTGGTGTTTTTGTGTGTGCGCGCGCGTGTTTTGAGTCATGAAATGGTTTGCGTGTGTCTGCTGTTGTGTGAAGTACATGAACAAATGAGCATGTCCTTTTGCTAATAAAGCATGGAACAAATTCTGTACCTTTTATGATGAGCTGGGTTGAGTTGGAGCGAATCTTAACAATCCCACATCACCTATATACAACCCGTTACAAGGTAGAATCGCAGCACAATGGGTCGGATTCTCCAATTCCGCGTTTAATTGTTTCAAACTCTCGGAAGCATGACTCCAATATACAACCAGTTACATGGCAGAATTCAGCCCAACGAGTCACGAGGATATACAATCGTTTACAAGACAGATTATTATCCTAAATTATCCTGTTAACATGCTGTGTGTTTGCAATGTTCAAACAGTTCTAAGCTGTGATTTAAGAGGATTAAGATAAAAATAATTCCATAGCAACAATCTTGTTTACGCCACAAGAAATCTGCGAGTGACAACAAGTTACAAGAACTAGCACAGATTGCCATTTTTTCAATTATTTTCGCCAAAAATTTGGAAGACGAAAATTTCTCGGATAAAAATTCAGAATACAAGAAAATAATTTACAGACAGCAGATAGAGCTCGAGTCCTACCAGTCAGCAACGGAGGTTTAAGATCTTATTCTCGGCACTTCGGAGGGAAGGTTACAACGAACCGCCGAAGCGAATTTCGACTCCGTTTCCACCAATGGCGGACGTCAAACAATGGAATCCACAAGACTCCAGTTCAGAAGTTACTTTATCAACAACAGTTCCTGATAGCACTGATTCATGTGGTCAAGGAAACATCGTGCAAGGTATTGGGAAATAAGCACCAACAGAACTAGGTGAACGCTAAACAGAGAATAAAGTGACACTACGAACTCGTTTGAGACTGCTTATGTGGGAAGCACTTATGTTCGAAAATACTTTTGATAGAAATGCTTTTATTATAAACATGTAGAAAACTTTATTGAAAATCCAAGTATTTCCTGGAAATGCACTTGGAAGAGGTTCTTGAAGAAGCACATAGCAAGTGCTTCTCCATAAAGCACTCTTACAACTCAGAAGCACTCTTAAGTTTTAATTAGAAGTGCTTTTAGTTGTCAGAAAGCAATTTTATCCCTTCTATGTGTAAGTTTATCTTACATTGCCGGTCCCAAGCCTGATAAAGAAGGAGGGGGAGGGCGTCAGGTAGTCGACATCCGGCCCTCCTTGGTTACGTTGAATCCTTATAAGCAATTCTAAACAGACCCTAAACCGTGTTTGTGTGCAGCTAACTATCAGTTCATTGTTCTCCACTATTAGAGAAGGAAAATGAGAAGACATGAGATAATGTACTAAAGAACCAAAAATAAAGGGAATCATGAAAAGGATACAGGTTGGCAGTAGTGTGAGAACACAACCTCCGCCCCCAGCTCCGGTCAACTTGGAAGCTAACTTGTATTTCAGCGTTGTTTGAAGAACGGTTTCAATTGAAGCATGGCTGACCCCCATACATTGGAGCAAACCTTGATTCATTTCCATTAACTCTTCTATTTTCGCTTCCTTCTCAGTAATGGAGAGATCATCGGGGGCGGGCGATTGGATGATGCTAGCCACTTCCGTGCTGATAGAATCGACTGCATTAAACACAGAAGCCATGGCCTCCGGATGCCTTAAAGTTCTCTCCGAAACACCAGCGACTAAGGCCTTCGTGTTCCTCCCAACTTTTGTGTTGGTAATAAGCATTTTGAGTGTCATGTTCGATTTGATGCGAGTCAGACTACCTGATCTGAATTTGATCATATTGCCTGTTGCACGAGAGATTTGTATAAAGATATCGTCAAAAGCAGTAAATCCATTGCATCAAACAAGATAAAGAAACTACAATACTCCATAGCTCTAACGTTTGAACTCCAACAAATATGCCAAAAGATGATGTGGAGAGCTATGTCTAAAACCAGATACCATTACGCATATTTGAATACCTCGTAATTACTGCGATATCAGATCCGAATGCCCAATTTTTGGTGATTCAAAAACAGTAGTTTCTAGATTAATCACGATGAGCCAGTATGAACAGTTCCTCACTGAATCACAACATGATGATGGAACCAACAGTAGGCTTGGATTGCAAAAGAATAAAAGAGGTGGCAGAAGAAAATAATGGATTAAGCAAATCAACCCCAAGAGAGTTCCTATCTTAGCGAAGAAAAGTCCTAAGCGCAACTTCAAGATACAATGTGGATCTGGTACGACTATTTTTGGGGTACTAGTAAGCACCAATGAAGTAGATGCATAGAGATGAATGAATCTCTTCATGAAAGAAAAAATGTAGCTTCCGAGTAAATTGAAAATTTTCCCTTTCACCAGTAGCTGTTTGACATCATAACACTTTTCGTACTAATCCAGACAAACTATTTATCTAACTGATTCCAAGAACTTTATAACTAGAAGATTCAAGGCAAGAAATCAAAAGAAGAAGAAATGAGATATTGATGAAGGAAGATAATGAGTTGGGCACAGGACACAAAATAACATACCGTATGTGCTAACTGTATTGTCAATTCCAGACGGCTTTCCATGGATGATCTTCTCACCTTCAAAAGCCCATTTGTTCAGCAATTCAAGTTCACTTTCCCCAAAAGTAGTCCACTCTTTGTGGCCCAAATCCAGACTTACACAATCTGAGAAAGAAAGAAGAGCACCCGAGAGTGCAACGCATAATGCAGCAGATGATCCCAGGCCTGAGCCCAACGGAAGTTCTGAAGTGATAACAACAGTAGCAGGCTTAAATCTGAGCCATAAAGAGAAGAGATCAGAGAATGAGAAAATAAGAATAAATCGACAAAAACTGCAAGTAGTCGATTATTCAAACAAACAACAGTCGAGTACCCTTGGATAGATGCATATAGCCAAAGAAAAGCCACCACTCCAGCACCAAGTCCAATTTTTGCCTCTGGAATGTTCAGTTCATCAACCAAAGCAGCAAGTGATTTAATCGACTCCGTTGAACATGAGGTTGGAACTGATGAGTTGGGAATATCTAATTCTGATAGGACTTCTTTTATCCTACCAATAGGCCATGAAAACTCTAATCCAATATCCTTGAGCTGGAGCCTTAGTGCATCATCATTATCTATGAATAATAGCAAAAGACGGTCAGTGAGAGATTCATATAGAATTAACCTGGACTTGAACATATGAACTTTATACTATGTTCATATCAGAAACGTTTACATGTTCTCATTCTCGAAATTAAGACCCTGAAAATAGTCAGATTTCTAATATAACCCATATAAATTCAACTAGGCCAATAGTCAGGGTCGTCCGAAAACAGATTCCAGAATCTAAAAAGTGTTTCTTTAAAATCCTGATATCAAGTAATCCAGTTGCTGAATAGATTTCTGAACATAACTTAAAACCTATAGGTGTAACCATTCAGATTCATCCACAAAACAGATTTTCACATATCTCGAAAGGGTTTCTTTCAACCACAGTTTCAAGCAACAAAACAACCAAATTTAAGCTTAGCTCAGAAAATAGACACAAACTTTTTGCGTTGGTAACACGGTCACAATGTTAAATCAAACCCCATGAACCTAAACAGAAAGAAGTTTCAGAAACACTATAATCATCTCACCCAATAGAACTTCCCAGAATCTGAAGAGGGTTTCTATAAACCCTGATTTCAGGCAACCCAAAAGCTGAATACTTATCTTACAAAAAGACGCAAACTTTTGCTTTTGGATTGGAAATGCTATCACTTTGAAAGCTTAAGCAAAACCATGAATCCAACCATAAAAAAGATGCGAACTTTTGCATTGGCAAACCATTCACAACCCAAAAATGATCTCCTAAGCAAAACCCACGAATCCAACTCAAATACAACATCTTCCAAATAACATCCCAAATCAAACGCACCAAATGCCACATCAAAGAATAAATCACATAAATTGACAGATGAAAAGAAACCCAGTAAAGATTAGAGATTAGAGAGAGAGGGAGAGTACCAGAGGGAGTGGGAAAGCGAAGAGAGACGTAGGTGTAGAGGTCAATGGACGACGCCACCGCCGTTGATCCATGAACGACAGCATGTTCACCCGAGAGTATGATTTTTCCAGGAGCTCTTGCTTTCACTTCCATTTTCTTTCCTTTTTTTCGTAATTGCTGGAATTAGCTGAATGATTCCAATCGGGGCGACCAAATATTTTGGTGCCAATATTGAGAACCCCAGAGAGTCTCTGAGTGTGGTGGTTGGAAGTTCGGAACTTGGAACTCGGTGACTTAATCTGTTAAATGTGGGAATAATTTATACAGCCATTTAATGTGGGAAAGTCGTAATTGGGCTGCTGCCAACCACAGTTGGCCTTCTGATTCGTTTATTTGGCTTCTTGTTTTTCATGTTTCTTTGACTCCATGCCGGTGGCGGCGCGTGGATCATCTGCGGGGATCATGGTGCGGGGATCATTTCCGCTCGAGGCCAATTACTCGGTGGTTGGTGCCCAGTAGTGAAAAGGGTTGTTGAAAAGATTGAATCGGGAGTCTGTTTGGAAGTTTTTCTTTAAATAATTAACAAGGTTTTTAGATTTATCAAAAACACTTTTGATAGTGTCGGCAAAAAAAAAATTAAAAAGTGGTTTTGAGGTTGAAAAATATAGTTGCAATGCTTTCTAAGACAATCTATAACCTTTAGCCTAAAACTTAATATTTTTAGTCCAGAAAATCTAGATTTCAATCCAGAAACAGTTTTTGTGCTTTAATTCTTTTAGCGTAAAATTATGTAGACTATCCTAAATTAATTTTATGAACATTTTAACCTAAAAATATTTAAATTCTGATAAATATTGAAAAATCACTAAATTGATATATTAAACTCATGAAACACTATGGAAGAATATGAAAATCAAGATAGAGATGTATAAACACAAAATATATGAAACAAACAATACACACAGAACACATATGAAGCACATACAAAACACATGATAAAGATGTATAACACACCAAACATGTAAAACACATGACACACACGAAACACATACCAAATACATACAAAACACATGAAACGCATGAAACACAAACCTACACACATGAAACGCAAACCTTCATTCATCCTCTATATAAGCATGGGGTGAATATCTAATCATCACACAACATATTCACCAATCTTCCAACTTTCAAAGTGTTTTTCTCCTCCTCAAAATCATCAATATCTCATCAATGAGTGTTAGAAAAAGGCGTAGCTTGGCAATGCATATGGCACAATACCAAGCAAGCCTTGCAACTACGAATGCAAAAATGAACAGCGAAGAAGTTGAATTTGCAAACTCGCTTATGCAATATGAGCACCATGCCAAATCTAAC